AAAGTGGAACATATCCAATTCACATGTCCCCAAAGTTATTATAATGAGTGTAGTGACAGGGTAGAAGGCAAGGAGATTGCTATTTGTTGGGGTCACAGGGAACACGAAAAGAGTAGATAACTAAGATAGCACCAGAGTTGGGTAAGTTATATTTTGTCTGGGGCAATTTGCAGCCCATGGACAGCAGTATATGTTTGTACATGGGCAAACTGATAATAATTCTGCTTGAGTAGGAGCTAATAATACGTCATCCATATAGTGATAGATGATAGCAGATGGGAACTGGTGCCAAGAAGGGAGTAGGGCTTCATGAACATATTGTCAAATAGTGGGACTATTTAACATTCCTTGTGGAAAGACTTTCCAGTGATACCTGTGAACCAGATGGGCATTATTATAAGTGGGAACAGAAAATGCAAACCTTTCCCGGTCTTGTTTCACTGGCGGAATTGTGAAAAAATGATCTTTTAAATCCCGTTCATAGACATTTAAATTTTTCTCTTTTTTCTACCATTAGTAATCCTGTTTACTTTCTACTGCCTTCCAGAATGTCTCTCTCCCTACCCCATAATCATGGTAACATTTCTCCAGTACTCTCAAGTCAAAGGATTTGTCTCATTGCTCACTACTCAGTCAAAACACTGGTCTGTTATTCTATTAATAGTAACAGGTCCTTCTCTCTCTCTCAGGATTTTACATCCTATTTAGCACTGATCACGTTTTGTCTTACATTTCTTGCTATTGTTACATTTGCCGTCAAATAGATTAAAGCTTCCTCAGCTTAGGTGTCTGTTGAGATCACCCTCCCAATTGCATTACATGGTAGCCCTTGAAATATGCAGGTATGTATGCGTTTTGACAGGAAAAGTGGTTTGACTTTTTTTGTCAACTAGCTAAATTAATCCATCAGATTAATCTCCTCCCTTCTGTTCTAGTCTTAATTCCTAAATAGGTCCTTATTTATCCAAGTACTTATCAAGAACCCATAGCCTGCCAGAGGCCAAATGAGGTGAAAGTGCTGAGATGAGCACCTACATGAAACTCACAATGACGGTAGATCTTTTGCATTCTTCTTGGTTTCTTCTTTACCCAAGTCCTGCACTTTACTCTTTTTTACACGTGATCCAGAAAAACAAAAGTTGGTTAATTAGTCTCATTGGTCTGACAAGAATGAGAGTGTTAGCTGACACCCAGGAGAGTGGTGTCCTAAGACTAAGTTTTTACATGCACTCTAGTTAATCGTCAAAACCAGCATATGAAATAGGCACTACGTTATTAAACCGATTTACACAAACGAGGAAACTGAGGCTTGGAGAGGCTTTAAAAATTGCCCTTGGTCCTCTCTAGAGAGTGGTGGAATCAGAATTTGAACCCAGGTCTAAACGATTCTAGCGCCTGTACTCTTCACTCATTTCTCTTTGGGTTCTCACTTTCCCCTAAGGATCAGGGAGTCAAACCAGGCCACTTTTCGTCTAAGTACACAAGGTTCTGCCAGATCAGTGAGCAAGTACAGTCTGCAAGCACAAGACGTGAATGGAGGAACGCTCCTCGGCGCCGCTCCCTAATCTGACCCAAAGTCGCAAGCATCCCAGCCCGCCCCTCTATGGGAGACTAGCGCCTGCGGTCGGGCTAAACTAAAACAGTAGAAGGCTCCTTTCCCCGGCAGCGGTCGAGTGGGGTCTCTCCTGAGGCGGCAGGTGTGTAGGACCCCCCTTTCCCCAGAGGCCCGCTGGCCCCCTCGGTGCTTGGGCCTGCTGGACCCCACGATCAAAACCTCAGGTTGTAGTAGACAACTGCAGAAAGGGCTGGGATAGGAAGCTGAGGGCCACGGCAGATGCAGGTCCCCAGGCATTCCGGAGATTTCCACAGGTCCATCGTGGGCCTACTTTTCGAGAAGGGCCCATCGGCCGTGAGCCCAGTCCGAACCGGCCGCCAGTGTTTCCGGATCCACACAAATAGGCCCCCTCTTTATCCATGTAGGACCGTCCTGTCTATTTCCAGGCCGGAACCCCAGTGTCTCGGGAGCGGGGAAAGGCCGGGCCCCCTTTTCCCGTTCTCTCGCGACCTCTGGCCACTTCCGGTTGCTAACGGTTCCAGAGCCCCTCCCTAAACCGCTATGAGAGCGGAGTCCTCCCTGGACCAGAGGCTAAAACAGATGCGAGAAAAGGTCTGGCTCTGGATGGTGAGTGTCGGAGTCGAGGTTGGGAAGTGGCTTCTGCTGGATTGTTGGGGTTGGGATTGGAGTAGGTATTAGGGAGAAGTTCAAAATTATAGTAATTGTTAAGATTTCGGATATCGCTTAAAAATACAACAGCCACAATGCAGCGAGTTCCTGAAGACCAAATACCAGTTAACTGATTTAAGCAGCTTTGAGAGGAAGAAAATGGTGAATTTAATGCGAATAAGCAGACCTGGCAGCGTTATTAGAAGGTGCTATGACTTTTATAACAATATGTGCCAGGCACTATTCAAAAACCTTTATATTGGGTCACTCACATGATTCCTACTTTATGAGGCAGACACCATTACAATATTGTTTTACAGATAGGGAACATGAAGCACAGAGAAAATAAGTGTATTAGCCAAAGTCATATAGCTAGTAACTGGAGAACAGGATTCACACCCAGGCATTCTCTCGTTAAAAGGTTAACTGCTATTCATTGATAGCTCTACTGCTATTCATTGATAACCTGATTTTTATCAGCTTAGGAAATGTGCTATCCAGATGAAAGTGTAAGTTTGTACAGAAACATGTTATTGTAGCAGTGTTATGAATCTCATCGGGTTTGTTGGCAATTTGCCTGTAGACAAATGGGTTCTTTGACAAGGGTATCTTCCACAGAAAGTTTTAAGGAGAAGAGAATAATACAAATTTTCATTTTAATAAATTAATTAAGCCCATCTCAAAGTCCCTTCTCCTGTTCCATTCTTCTCTAGATTCTTCTCTGTCCTTATTTTGTTTCTATTATGTTCAATCATTTGAAATTGCTGGTATTTGACTACCAGCTGTTTTTGACCTACAAAACCAGCAATAACATATGTTTAACCTAATACATAAACATCTTTTCATCTGAGAATTTAGGAGTCTATAATAATTAGAAAGTTGCTCTGAATTTATCTCAAATGTACCTTAAATCTGTTTATTTCTCATTTCTCTTCCTATCCACTGCAAACCCATGGTTCATGCCACCACCTTTTTCTCACTTGGCATACTACCATAGCCTCTTGACTGGTCTCCTTGCTTCTGCTCTTTTTGCACTCTTGCTTCTTTAAGGAGCCAGAATGATTTTTTTTTTTTTTTTTTGAGACAGTCTCCCTTTGTTGCCCAGGCTAGAGTGAGTGCCGTGGTGTCAGCCTAGCTCACAGCAACCTCAAACTCCTGGGCTCAAGCTATTCTACTGCCTCAGCCTCCCAAGTAGCTGGGACTACAGGCATGTGCCATATATTAGTTGGCCAATTAATTTATTTCTATTTATAGTAGAGACAGGGTCTCACTCTTGCTCAGGCTGGTTTCGAACTCCTGACCTCAAGCAATCTACCCACCTCGGCCTCCCAGAGTGCTAGGCAGAATGATCTTTTAAAAACAAAAATCAAAAATCAGATCGTGTTCCACCCTTCCAGTGATGCTCCATCATGCTTAGAATACACATCCTGGCCCCTGCTCACTCTCTGACCTAATCTTATCCCACTTCCCCTTAATCTAGTGCTTTAAACACATGGCCTTCTGTAAGTTCCTGTAACATATCAGATTCATTCTTATCAGAGACTTTGCATTAGCTGTTGCATTTTCCTGGAATTATCTTCTGCAGAGCTTCTGAAGGCTGGACATTTATATTTTAGTGAGAATGTCAGCTCTCCAGAAAAGCCTTTTCTAACCACTTGTAATAGTCATTCAGGCACTGTTTCATTTCACTTCATTATTATATTCTACATGCCACTTATTTCTATTTGATATTTGTATTGTTTGTTTCCCTTTAATGTAGGCTAAAAAAAACAGGGATCTTATTTATCTTATTCCCTGATATATCCCTAGTGTCTACCATGTTTCCCTGAAAATAAGACAGGGTCTTACATTTATTTTTCCTCAAGAAGACACCCTAGGGCTGATTTTCAGGGGATGTGTGTGTTTTTTTTTTAAGTATGGTACAACAATCTACATTTATTCAAATATAGTTAAGTCATCTTCTTCTGGAACATCATCATAACTCTCCAAACCCCGAATTCCATCCTGAATTTCTTGCGGCTCTATTTCCTTTAGAACCATTGGCCCCAATCTCTCATGTTGAGCAATAGAGCTCTCATGGGGCAGATGAGAAGGGCTGCTCATCTTCTTTACTGCTCTGCGAAGAAATACATGGGTTGTGCAGATATGCTGCGTAGCCACGCCCATCACTAGGTCTTATTTTCAGGGTAGGGCTTATATAGCGCAAATGCTTAGAAATCCTGCTAGGGCTTGTTTTATGGGTAGGTCTTATTTTCGGGGAAACACGGTAGAATAGAGGCTTAGGGACACAGCATACACTGAATAAATATTTGTTGAATGAATGCATAAGAAATGGTAAAAAGTCCTTCACATCATAGAACTTAGTCTCATAGAAGTGATGTTGTTTGAAACATAGAGAATGGGACCTACCTTGAGGGTGAGAATATCTTGGTAAATTCTAATAAATAGGAATATAATGGGATACAGCTTTATAATTTTAAATTTTTTAAAAAGACAGGTGAATTTAATCTGTTGACTCACTGACCAACCAACTCTTTTGGATTGTTTCCTTTTATTAACCCAGTCTGGGGGAGGGGAGGCATAGGAGGCTATCAGATAATCAGCAGGTATATATGAGCTCCCTCTAAGAAAGCCCACCTGGGGAGGGTGAACCACAGTGCAGATTCAAGCTAATTCAAGCTAATTACCCTTAGGTTACTCTGGGTCATTTTCTAAATCTTATTATGCCTGGGCTGAGGAATTCTCAGATTGATAAAGCATTCCCTTCTTCCCCAGGTGTAGCAGTTGATCAAGATAGGATTAAGGGTGGGCAACACCAAACCGGAGTACCCACCCTTATCCTTCTGTCAAGGTGGAACAACTGCTCCAGACAGCACTGAAGTATGAAATCCTTGTCCTGAGAAGAGCTGGAGGGCCTATCTACTTAACAGATTCATGTACTCAAATTATTCCAGTAACTAAATTGGGTATCAGTTTTTCAATTTAATTCAAAATAAAATAAAATAAATTTAGTTCTTTAGTTGCATAGCCACATGTACCTAGTCGCTACTATATTAGACACCACAGATCTAGATCAAGAATAAAATATCTATATTCATAGTTGGGTCAAGGGGCAAAGGAGAAGGTAGCACCAGAATGTGACATGAAGGGAAAGTGAGGTCTGCAAAAATGCAGTGTAAGCTCTTTATGTAAGTCACATTTGAAGACTAATTCCTTTGGTCCTCACCAGTAATTGAGGTAAGGCTTTCTAAAGTAGACTGCATTATTTAGAATGATTGCTGCATAGATTTTAGGTACTCTGGGAATCATTTTCTGCTATAGGAAAAGGGTCCAGGAGTGCTGGTCACATGTAGCATTTCTAAATAGAATATTAATGTATATGATATGGAATAGTCATGGAAATCAGATTATTTTTCTATAGAGTAGTGGTTCTTAACTGGGGGCAATTTTGCCCCTCAGGGGACATTTGCTCCCAAAGTTGTTTGGAGACATTTTTGGTTGTCACAAATGGGGAGTGCTAGTGACATCTAGTGGGTAGAGGCCAGGGATGCTGCTAAACATCCTACAATGCAGAGAGGACAGCCTCTCACAACAAAGAATTGTCTGGCCCCAAATGTCAATAGAACTAAGGTTGGGAAATCTTGCTTTAGAGGATTTGAGTAAGAAAGACTGAGATAGCTACTCTTTTAAAATGTCAGCCTAGCTCCCTTGTGATATTACTAAGGGGAGAAGAGATTCTTTTGAAACATTTCAGAGTTTCCAGTTGTATTTTCACTATTGATAGACTTTGTGATTATATCATAATGAAATAATTTCATGCTCAGGATAAGAATGTAGCTCATTTAATAAAGAAAATATAAATAAGGTGTGCTGTACATGTAAGACCTTGCAAACAGGAGCTAATCTATTCACCTTTGTATGGCTTGTATCATATGGCCCACAGTCTCAAATATGATTGATGCCAATGTATTAGATCTATTAATACTTATCTCCCTCTTCTCTCTTTCCCTGTCTCCATCCCTTGTTTTATCTTTGTTCCTCTCCCTATGCCCTTGCTCTTTTTAAAAATTCTCTTCTTTTCCTTCTTTCCTTTTCTCTGTCTTGTTTTCTCCCTCTTCACCAATGCCATTCATACCTCCTACAGCCCCTCCCTCAACACTCATCTATTTCCTCCATTCATAGCTGTTGGCCCCCTCACTCTGAATCACCAGTTCACCACCAACCCCATTCTGTGTCTGAGAGAGCTGCCCCTCATCTTCCCTATAGCTACCTCTTAAAATCACTGTCTATCCTGTTAGTTCATGAAGACTACAACATACAAGTTTTTACCTCCTTCTTCAAGAAAATTCCTCCAAATAGATGGGAGGAGCAACAATGCATTTGCTTTTGACACAACTCTGAGAAACTGTTTTCCATGTTCAGGGTTCTCCTAGAACAGGTGCTGTCCATCCAGGATGGCTCTCTGCTAGAATCCAGTGATTCTGAATACAGTGTCCAACATATTACAGCTCCTCTTCCTATAACTGTGAAAGTGATTGAACTCAGTGCTCTTCTTTCCAACTGGCTGCACCCTGGCCAGTTTCTTTGGTGGGTTTCTACATGCATACTCTAGGACATTGCCTGCTTCTCCATAATACTAGCAACTACTTAGATCTCCTCTGACCTCATGCCTCCTTTGCCTTTAGTTATCCCAGATCGCACTGGCCTTTCTTCTCTTGCCTATATCACTCCAGGCTGTCTCTGGCCCCATTTCTTTCTCTCTCTTTCTGACTTTTACCATTATCTCTCTTGTCCATAGTAGACCAAACCTGTGGTGGACACTGTGGTAGCAATTTGGAATCAACATCAAACCTAAAAAGGGTACCATGGTTGTAGTGTTCCAAACTACTCTTCATTCAGCCTTTAAGTAGAACTCTAAGCAGAACTCTTAGAACTGTTCTTTGTATATAACAGATATTCAAAACTACTAGCTAAACTGAATGTTCTGTCATACAGAGAATGACAAAGGAAAAATCAGTCTGCCATGCCTTTACTAGTTTTAGGAAACCTAATCTAATTTTGTGGTAGCCAAGATCATCTTTCTTACCACTGCAAAAGACTAAATTTAAGGATGGATAAGATCAGCAATATGAGCTTCCCCTTTAAAGATTTGAACAGTTTTAAGCATTATAGTGTTTTTTAGCAAGACTAAAGGAAAAGGTGTGTGTGGGGGGAAGGCATTATTCAGTAAGCACCTAACTTTATTTTTTAAGGAAGGATGTATCTAATACTAAAGAATGAATACTTTTCTCTTGATGATCAATAAAAAACCCTTTTTTCAGTTGTTTCAAATGCTTCAAAATATTGCTCAGATGATTATAATGAGTCATAAAACAAGAATTAGTATGAAACTTGAGATTTTAAAAATTTGTATCAGTTAAGACAGTCAAAATAAATGTACATTTTTTAAAAAAGGACCATTATGTTCAAGACATAAAAACTAAGTTTATCTTTATGGTGCTATGAGGAATGTTCTTAAGATTCATCTTCCTGTAAAAATGATTCTGTTTTTTTTTTTTTAATCCTGATCTCAAACCAAATGCAAAAGCAAGTGTGCTTAATTGATATCTTCATCAAGATATTAGATCACTTTTTCCTGATTGCCCTGGTGATAACTATTCCTAGAACCAGTCAAGGAACCAGAGCTTTGTTCCTGGCAGTTTGATGGTGATATGAATTTCAATGTGCTGGGCCTTTAGGCCACAATTCCTGTCATGGTATAAAATTCTCAAATTAGGGATATAAAACTGTTAGAAGTACATGAAATGCTAATGCATCCAGAAGCCAAAAGAAAAAAATAAAAAAGATTGTTTACTAAAGTATTGGTGTCCTGAGAGTCCCAGTGTAGGGTATCTGACAGGGGGTGCTACTTTGTAAAGGTAATCAATCTTTTCATAGAAGTAAGGTTGTATATAAGTTTCAATTTGGTATTAGATCAGATTTACTTTAATGATCACCTTCCTCCAATTATAATACTCTCCTTTCTCAAGGATGAAAAAGTATTGTGAAGTTTTTACATAATTATTTCAGTTTGGGGTGTTTCCATTTTATCTACTGTTGATATTGTAGCCTTCTCAGGTATCTCTTTAGCTGCCTTCCTGAACTCAGAATCACACAATATCAAGGCTAGAAGATACCTTACCAATGATTTTTTTTCTAAACAGCAATGTTCTCTGGAACTTTCTGCAATGATAAAATTGGTGTATATAAGTGCTGTCCAATATAATGGCTTCTAATGTGGCTATTGAGCAGTTGAAATGTGACTAATGTTACTAAGGAATGGAATTTTCCATTTTATCTGAGTTAATGTGTGAGTTAATTTATCTGTTAATATGAGTTTATCTGTCTAATATGGTACTGGCTACCATATTAGACAGCCCAGTTCTAGACTAATCCCTCCCCATCTCCCTCAGCTTATAATAACCTGAGATCCAAAAGAGATTTATTTAAAGTTATAGATCCTTAACACACTCTCTCATTTCCCTCCCCAGCAGCTTCTACTAATCACATATTGCTTTCCTTTCTCCTTTAATGTTTTTATTAGCCTCCTGTTTTTTGTTTTTATTTTTTAGAGACAGGGTCTCACTTTTGTTGCCCAGGCTGGAGTGCAGTGACATGATCGTAGCTCACTGTAACTTTGAAAGCCTGGGCACAGGTGATCCTCCTGCCTCAGCCTCCCAAGTAGCTGGGATTACAGGTATATACTACCATGCTTGGCTAATTATTATTATTTTTTTTTTTGTAAAGACAGAATCTGGCTATTTTCCTAGGCTGGTCTCAAACTTCTAGCCTCAAGCAATCCTCCCACTTTGGCCTCCCAAAGTGCTGGGATTAGAGGCATAAGCCACCATGCCTAGCCAGCCTCCTGTCTTTTCTTATATGTTCTTCTTTATGATTGGCAAACAAAAAATTTCCACAAAATGATCACACCCCCTACTTTTAAGATCACACACAAAAAGGATAAATATTTAGGCCATTATGTCAGTCATGATGGAAAACAAATAAATTAGTGTTATTTTAGTTCTTAATTTCAAAAGTAGTTTTCATGTGTTTTAACTTGTCAGAACATACTTGATGGGTCTCTATTATCATCTGCAATTTATGGAAGGAGAAGTGAAGGCAGACAAAATTTGAAGGTCTTGTCTAAATTATACACTGAATGTTCAAGTAAAAAGGAGCCGGAGGTAGAATTCACTGTCTTTCACCTAGGAAACATTGATCTTGGACTGCAAGTGGGCAGTGCTGTCAGTAAACAAGGCTTTCTGAAATAACTCTTGATTCCTCCCCAAAAACTGAACTAATTGGAAATAAAAAGATATTTTACTCAGATAGATTCTTTGGTGACAGAGAAGTTTTTTTTTAAATTTTTATTATTAAATTAAATTAATTTTTTTTACCTACATGAACTTTGACTAGACAGAGAAGTTTTTAATGATGATTGATGCTTTGCCCACATTCAGGAAATCATAAAGTCTCTAAGGTAGAGTATAACTAGGTAGGCCTGAGCATCTAAAGAAATTTTGTTATTAATACTTCCTCAGTAGAGTTTATTTGCTGTATGAATTCTTTGATGTCTAATAAGAGCTGAACTTACTCTGAAGGGCCTTCCACACTCATTACACTCATAGGGTTTTTCACCTGTGTGGATTCTCTGATGCTGAATAAGACCTGTGCGCCCACTGAAATCTTTCCCACATTGTTTACATTTATAAGGTTTTACTCCAGTGTGTACTCTATGATGTCCAGTGAGATGTGAGCGTTGAATGAAGGCTTTTCCACACTCATCACATTTGTAGGGCTTCTCTCCAGTGTGAGTTCTCCTGTGTTTACTAAGGTCTGAGCTGTGACTGAAACTTTTTCCACATTCATCGCATTTATATTGTCTTCTTTCCCTCTGTTGCCATTCAAATCTGCCCTCATTTTCAGCAACATCTTTGGTTTCAAGATGCTGAGGGATATCGTCATTGAGTCTGTCATTTATCTCCCCAAGGAATTCCATATCTTTGGGAACATCTTCCTTCTGGGACAGCTCTTCATTCTTAGTCCTGGTTTTATCACCTAGTAACAAACAGTATACAAACAGGTCCTATTCTAGGTTTGAGAAGCAAAAAGCCTATTGAACAAAGAACATGTCAATGTTATAAACATGTTATAAATAATGAGAAAAGTCACATACAACACACATATCAAATATTTGGCACCATCTCACTTTTGGTACCATCACATCATATAGTCACAATATAGGGAAGAAATTAAGAAGAGCCCAGTAAAGAAGATATCAGTAGGGTAAGTTGTTTGAAAGTAGATTAAGAGAGGAAAAGGGCCGGGCCGCAGTGGCTCACGCCTGTAATCCTAGCACTCTGGGAGGCCGAGGCGGGCGGATTGCTCGAGGTCAGGAGTTCAAAACCAGCCTGAGCAAGAGCGAGACCCCGTCTCTACTAAAAATAGAAAGAAATTAATTGGCCAACTAATATATAGAAAAAATTAGCTTGGCATGGTGGCACATGCCTATAGTCCCAGCTGCTCAGGAGGCTGAGGCAGGAGGATCGCTTGAGCCCAGGAGTTTGAGGTTGCTGTGAGCTAGGCTGACGCCATGGCACTCACTCTAGCCTGGGCAACAAAGCAAAAAAAAAAAAAAAAAAAAAAAAAAAAAGAGGAAAAGGCAAAAATGAAGATCAAGGGATTACCTGATAATCCTGTGCAAAGGCAGAGTGGTAAATGGGGGGACTATAGATATGCTAAAGATAATTAAGAGGGATTGGCAGACAAACCAGAGAGCAGAGATGGGAGAGAGGTAAAAGTATGGCAGAAACATGGAAGGGGCTAAAACGTAGGTGGTAAGTGGGAGTAAAATTGAGTAAAAGTGACTGGAGAAGATAACAGGATTTGAGGTCTGAGAGGAATATAGTGAATAGGAACCATCCAAGGAGGGGAGTGTTTATGAAGGGTAACAATTAGCTGGAAGCAGAGTAAGAGCATGCAGCTCAGGGTAAACAGAGGAAGGTAAAGGAGTAGGAAATGACAGTGGATGTGCTGGGTTGAATCTTTGTTTTTTCCTAAAACTGACATCCTCACCAGCATCTCCTCATGTCTAAACCCTAGTTCAGTGTTTTATAACTATATTGTACATCAGAATAACCTGGATGGCTTATTAAAACACAGATTTCTGGGCTCCTCTTCCTCTGCCTCCAAGCTTCTGATTTGGTAGGGTTGGAGTAGAGCCCAAGAATTTACATTTCTAGCAAGCTTCCTGGTCAGACACATACAAGTGTGGTCCAGGAACCACATTTGAGAACCACTGGCCTAGCCATTATTCAAGGGCCATCTCAAATGTTATCTCCTCCAGGAAGTCTTCCCTACTCTCTCAAAATGGATGTGCTCATTCCCTCTTGCTAATTCTCATGTCCTTAACCCTAGGCGTAACATAGATCTTGGTACACAGCAAGTGTTCAGTAAATATTTGAGTTGAATTCTCTAAGAAAACAGCTGTTTTGATGATTTGGAGAGGGTAAAAGATACCACCAATTTGGTCATGCTCCATGCTGAAACCACCATCTCAACAGACCTAGGAATACCAACTGTAAAATTACCATTGATTATAGATAATTTTATTAGTTCCTTTGGCATAACAGAAGAAGCTGAAAGAGTACCAGAATATTTTAATGCCTGGGCTGGGTATAAAAGGCACTGAGTCTGGCCTACCTGAGTGCCATGAATTCAAATCCTCCTTATAATAACCATGACTCCTTCTGATCAAATCTTACCTCCCTCCTTATTATCATTTTCATCAGGCAGCTTTCTCAAAAGTTTGGCTGTTTGCTCTAAGATAACATTGTTTTGGAATCCCAATGCCACGATATTTCTGGCAAGAAATTTTTTTTTTTTGAGACAGAGTCTTGCTTTGTTGCCCAGGCTAGAGTGAGTGCCGTGGCGTCAGCTAGCTCACAGCAACCTCAAACTCCTCAAAAGGATTGCTCAAGCAATCCTTCTGCCTCAGCCTCCCGAGTAGCTGGGACTACAGCCATGTGCCACCATGCCCGGCTAATTTTTTCTATATATATTAGTTGGTTAATTTCTTAATTAATTTCTTTCTATTTATAGTAGAGACGGGGTCTCATTCTTGCTTAGGTTGGTTTCGAACTCCTGACCTCAAGAAATCGAGGAAACTGTCAAATACGAACTTTTCTCATCTCAGGGATCTGCAGTCTATTTCTTAACCAACTGATTTTTAGGGTCTTGTTTATGTATCTCTTTCAAGTGCCAACCTAATAGGATACCAGGAGATTTTGTTTCAGAACTGACAAAATTAGGAATATTTGGTTTCAGCATCTTCTACTGGGGCCATTCTTCCAGTGTTATTTTGGCACATGTAATACCCAAAGTCCTTATCAGTTACAGTTCCAAACAGGTTCAAGCCTTTCTGATCACTGAGATAAGGGTAAGTCCACAAAGATCATTTGATAACCATGTTTACTAGCTGCTGGACAGTCTAGGGGGAAAAGGACAAGTTTGGGTGCTAAGTGAAGTAAAACTGGAACAGAGTTAAGACTGATTAAGGGAACCTTATTGCTACAGAGAAAGTCAGTGTTGTGGCTTATAGCATATCCATAAAGATTTCATTTACTTTTGAAATATTTTTAAATGTGTTACAAAGAATTGTAAGATTCAGCTGTTCAAGTTCTTCTGTCACATGTAAAGATAATTTGTGTTAAGTGACTACTGTTATAATTCCCAGTTATATATATATATGGAAATGATTCCCATTACCCACTGAACAGTTAATAGTAATACTATCTTCTTAGTATGGATACAATGAATTTTTTAAAATAAGAAATACTGCATAAGAAACACTGTCAGTCTCTATTCAACAGTACATTTATTTTTAAAAGGTATTGGCTTATTGGTACATTATGATGATCATTTTAATAATTTGTTCTGGGCTAACAGGCAGGAACCCCAGGTTCTGATTCTAATCTCAGTTCTGCCTCTAACTCTTTATGGGAACTTGGACAAGTTACTACCACTGTGGGTATAGTTCTTCAACTGTAAAATAAGGGTTTGGAACAGATATTCCATACTTATACAAAAGTTGAAAGGCACTTCTTGAAATGTATGTGTTGTGACTTTTGCCGGTTTTGTTTTGTTTTTGTATGTCTTTTTCAGCAGAGAATGTGGTGGTGGTGGTGAATATAGATAAAAATTGTCAAAGGTTGCTGGTGGTGTACCCTGGGGGAAAAAGAAATTATACCTATACTGTTCAACATAGACAAAATGAGGGCTTCCCTAAGAATTCTCAGGTCTCACAGGATAGCTAGATTTCCTGAAGCATCATATGTTAACTATACAGTATTCCCTTGAAAGGTTATTTTGGTAACAGCACGTGTATAAGCCTCTACAATTTTAAGTATTGGAAGTATGTATTTTTCTGGACTTAATGCTAACAGGAAGCAGAGTGGAAGCAGTCCAGAAGTATTTACACAAAAACAAACAGAAGGACTATCTAGAATTTAAAGTTTTGAATGGATAAGCCAGTAGTCATAATTAGTAATTGTGTTAAAACATATGAAATTAATTTAGCATGTTGGCAAGTTAAATTATTATTGTGACCTGTTTTATGAGTGTATGTGCTGTCACCTCCCAAATTATATGCCTCTTCATAGAAAAGAGGTGAAGACTCCACATAGTTAAGCTTACTAAAGCTTATTAAAATGGTCTGCACCTATTAAGGTCTGCCCCCAAACTCCTCTTGCTTAGACTATCATTAGCTTCTAAATGTCAAATTCAGTGGACTGTTATCAGTCCTTATCTTGTGTCCTATTAGTAGCATTGGCTACTGCTGATCTCTCCTGGGAGAAACAACTCCATTGGCTTCAGTGACACCACTCTCTTCTGTTTCTCTTACCTCTCTGACAGTACCTGCTCTGTCTCCACAAAAATCTTCCTTCTGCTTCTTGAAGAGAAGTTAACTTAAGTGTGTTATCTTTGGATTCCTTACATCTAGCATGGTACCTGGCATATAGCTGCTGTTCAATAAATGTTCGATGAAAGAGGAATGAATGAACAGACAGGGGGTTTTCAACCTCATCCCTAAAGCCAAACAATAACCAGCACTCCACTCTAGAGTTAAAGCACTGAAAGAATCCTTTACATTATATATAATTGAATGTTATCCTTTCTAGATATCAGCTAGATATCACATGTGACTGATATCACTAAGATATAACATCTTAGCTCAAAATAATTTTTCAGATTGCACAAATCAGCTGGCAGGGATCCCAGAGAATGTGAGAACTATATTGATAAAATTTAAGTAATAAGAATACAAAATAGCCCTACTGGGTTACTGCACAGCAGAGGCATCATGGACATGAGAGAGCCTATGGAGAAAGGGCAGGGAACACTGAAAAGGGTAAGATTTGACAAATTGCAATTTAAAATTTGCCTGCTTTTTAATGTAGCCTGAGGATATACTAGATACTCCAGTTTATAATTAGTGAGCTGGAATGGGGGACCAAACCCAGTCAACCTTATGTGCAGATAAAAACAAAAGAAAACAAAAAAACCTGCTGTTTTGACTGATCCTTGTCCTCCCTTCTCTACTTCTTTCAGCATGTGAGTATGTTATAGACTGACTTGTGTCCTACCCACTCCAAATTCCTGTGTTGAAGACCTAACCCTCAATGTGACCATATTTGAAGACAGGGCCTTTAATGAGGTAATTAAGATTAAATGAAGTCACATCGATGAGACCTAATTCAATAGGACTGGTGTCCTCATAAGATGAGGAAGAGACACCATGAGTGTGAGTGCACAGAGAAAAGGCTTCTCACTGTGAAAGCACAGTGAGAAGTATGCAAACCAATGAAAGAGGCCTCAGACTTAAAGTCTCCAGAACGGTGAGAAAATAAGTTTCTGTTGTTAAGCCACCCAGTCTAAGGTATTCTGTATGGCAGCCCTAGCTGAATAATACAGGGTGCCATAAATTCTCCTGTCTCAAAATGGAAATTTAAAGGAATTTGGTACTAGAACCATTAGATAACAAATAGCAGTATAAAGTATTATTAACTCATTTTGAGTTATGTCCTAAAAAACAAAACAAAAGGTATTAATAACTTGAATGATTAAATTCCATTTTCCACCCCTTGGGCCAAATAACAACTTTTATATCTAGTGAAACTAAAATATAATTCTTTCCATGATGGGGCAAAGGTAAAAAGAGGATAAAATTATCCATAGCAAGGTGGAGGATAAGCAGGAAATCTTTAAAAGGAGAACATGAAAGTGAGAAAGTTGCACTCTAACCTAAGAAACCACCTCTTCCCTCATACACTGAAAATTTTAGCTCCTTACCCTTCTGTTGTGACTTCCCAGATTCCTGCTCCAGCTGGTTCTTCTTGGGATGGAGCTGGACAGTCAGTGACTCATATGACCTTCCCAAGGAGGCCAAGAGTATGTCCTGTCTTTCTGAATAGGCTGGGACCTGGGAACAATGAGGTATGACTGGACTTGTAAAGTAGATTTTATGGGAACTGAAAGAACTTCAGGTAAAAAAAATCAAAAGCAGTATCTGCCAGGGACCCAGGGACAGAGAAAGGTGGACAAATTTTCATTCAACTATAAATGGCAATAATGGCTGAGAGAGAGAGAGACAGACAGAGGCTCATCTCTACAATTCAGGACACTAAAGAGTGAAATTCAGTGTCTCTTAATATACATTATACTCCTTAAGAAAAAAAAGAAAAATAAATTCAGTGTCTCTTCTCTCATTGATCTGCAGAGGTCCAGGATCAGAGTCTTGGATTTGGAAGGTACCTTAAAAATCATCTAACCCAATTCCAGTAAATGGGGGCAATTCTTCTATAACCATGCTGTCCAGTATGTTAGTAACCAGCAAAATGTGGTTACAAAGTACTTAAAACGTGGCTAGTACAAATTGAGACAGGCGAAGTAAAATAAACATCAAATTTTGAAAACTTAATACAAAAAATTCTAAAATACCTCATTTATATTGATTACATAATTGTTTTGAGTTATATAAAATATAATTTCACCTGTTTTTATTTTTAAATGCGGCTACTAGAAACTTTACATATATGGCTCACATAACCTTGTTCTTCTCTAGGGTACACATATTAAATACTTTCAGGTGTTCTTTCACATGGTTTTTGCTTTGGCTAGGTCCATATACCTGTGATCACTCACAGCCAAATGACTGCCCTTTCACACCTACCTGCTTTCCAGGTTCATCAAGTTCTCTCTCCAGATCTTCCAGTACAGTCACCGCCTCCTCTCCAGTCTCTGGTTGGTGTGCCTGCACCCATGCTTGCAGGTCCTTAGGAAGAATGCTCAGGAACTGTTCTAGCACCAGCAGGTCTAAAATCTGCTCCTTGGTATGGTATTCTGGCCTCAGCCACTGACAGCAAAGCTCCCAGAGCTGGGTAAGAGCTTCACGGGGTCCAGGTGCATCCTGATAGCAGAGCTTCCTGAAGTGCTGCCTGAAGAGTTCCCTCTTATGAGGACTGTACTTTTGTGAGATGGAATCCTGTCCCCAGTAGTGTTCCTCTGCCTTAACTATCAGAAGTCCTTTTTGTTTCTCAGGTTCCAGGGCTGTGGACATTCTAGGCTTTATCAGGAGATTATTCCTCTGTCTAGGATTGATTCAAGGAGAATCTCTTAGGATTTTGTCTCAGAGACACTCCTAAAGCATAAAAAGTTGTAACCATAAAGAAATGAGAAAAGCTGCTGCAAACATAAACACACACTAATGAAATCAAACCATTAGAGCTGAGTCAGAGAAACAGCTCATAGGAGGCTGTAAAAAAGAACAATGACACAAGGACATGATTTGAATCTGTGCTTTACTGTGTAATTTAGAGGAGGTTATTAATACTTATCTACACTAGAGCTATAAATACTCATGTAAAATTCTGAAGTTTCTTATAAGGTTGATGTATAGATTAAATGAGAATATATGCAACATCCCTGGCATGCAGCTGGGACTAGTAAGCACTAAATAAACCCTGAGTATTATTAGCTTTGTTAAAAGGCTCATTCCACATCCTGAGATGCATGGGTTGGCTTGTGTCCACAGGATTCAGTGGTTTTTAGAGCATGTGCGCCATGTCCTAGGATGGGGGTCAGATGGATGCCTCCGCAGAGGAACCCCAGAGGCCCCTTCCACCTTGTCCTCTCTGGGAAGGTCGGGCCAAGTCCTCTCTGGTAGATGTGTCGGGGGATGGTAGGAGGGACAGAAGCGTTACATTATGCCCGCAAAGGGGAGGGGATTGCTGCTGACCACAGCTGTGCCTTGTCTTCTCCTCTTCTCCACCTGGGAGCCGGAAGATACTCACCTTACACACAGAAGGGAACAGGTGCGACAGCTAGTGTCCTTCGGGCAGCCTCGAACAAAGGCTAGATAGACTCAGACCAATCGACGCCTGGCCACTGGCAGCCGGGCGCTTCCGGGCCGCTCTAGGAAGCTCCACCTCGGTGGCAGTAGTGAGGCTTGCCTACCCAGCCCTAGTGGAGGACCCGGTTTCTGTGCCTTACGTTGCTGGAATTGCAGGCATTTGGAACATGTCTTCTTAACGTTTTTTAAAAAAACGTTTTTTCGTACTGAAGATTTTTTTTCGGTTTAATTATTAAGTAATATGGATAAGTAATGCATTCACATAAATTTATTAAAAAGAACAATGTCCCCCAGCATGTGATTTGACAATGTTTTTTGTGACATGATGTATCTTTCCGTAGATATATTACAGGTATATATTACCCTTGCTTTTGTCCTGCTACACAAATTGTAGCACTTCTGTACCTTGCTTATTTTTTCTTTTACCAATTAATCTTGGAGATGGGTACACAAGAGGGTTCCTTGATCTTGCTCTATTTTTTAAAACTGGCACAGTATTCAATTGTGCCTATGTGCCATAGTTTTTAATAACTACCCCCATTGATGGTCATGAGTTTGTTTCCAGTTTTTTCCCCACCGCTGCAATAAATTACTGTGAACAATGTTATAAAATATATTGATCTTTGCCAATGGGTAGAAAATGCTGTCTTAGTTTTTTTCTCCCTTCCTTCCACAAATCTTCATTGCTTAACTTCTATCCCAGGTACTATTCTGGAAGTTGGAACTACAGTTTTAAGCAAACAATGCCCTTGTGTTCATGGAATTTATAATCTAGTATATGTGTGTGAGGTGGGAAGACAAGCAAAAAACCAGAAAAATATATACTGTATTTGATGTTGTATGTTAGTGCTAAGGAGAAAAAAAAAAAAAAAAGGAAGTTTGGGGTGAGAATGCAGTGATGCAATTTAAATAGGATGCTCACAGAGGACCTCACTAGCAAATTGACAATTTAGTAAAGATGTTTCAGGGAGAGGGAGATAGCAAATGCAAAGGCCTGGAGTTGAGCATGTTTGAAGTATTCTGGGCACAGGAAAGATGCTGGTGTGGCTGCAGCTGAGTGAGCAAGAGTGCTGAGAGTAGACAGAGGGATACTGAGGGTGAGTGTAGATGTTTTTACTCTGAGAAGCCATTCAAGGTTTCTGAGTAGAGGAGTAATGTGATAAAACGTAGATATTGAAGATATTATTTAATTTTTTTTTTTTTTTGAGACAGAGTCTCACTTTGTTGCCCAGGCTAGAGTGAGTGCCTTGGCGTTAGCCTAGCTCACAGCAACTACAAACTCCTGGTCTCAAGCAATCCTTCTGCCTCAGCCTCCCGAGTGGCTGGGACTACAGGCATATGCCACCATTCCCGGCTAATTTTTTCTATATGTATTAGTTGGCCAATTAATTTCTTTCTATTTATAGTAGAGACAGGGTCTCGCTCTTGCTCAGGCTGGTTTTGAACTCCTGACCTTGAGCAATCCGCCTGCCTCGGCCTTCCAGAGTGTTAGGATTATAGGTGTGAGCCACTGCGCCCAGCCTTGAAGATATTATTTAGGCTAATGTGTTAAAAGTAGACTTGTATGTGAAGGGGGTAGGTAGGGCAAGGGCAGAAGCAGGGAAACAGGTTGGAAAGCTATTGCTACATTGGAGTAGGGGGGGCATTTTTGAAAATGACACAAAATCCTAAAGACATAAAACTGTAAAGCCTAAAAGGAAAGGATAAATGAAGCTGGTTGTAAAAATTTTAAATTTTTGAATGAAAAAAACAAAAACAAAAAGTGAAAATATAAACTGAAATATGAGACACATCTAAAAGACACAGAGTTGTATTTTCTTTTTTAAATTTTTTTTTTTTTTTTTATTTGAGACAGATTCTTACTCTCTTGCCTGGGCTAGAGTGTCATGGCGTCAGCCTAGCAACCTCAAACTCCTGGGCTCAAGCGATCCTCCTGCCTTAGACTCCCAGGTAGCCGAGACTACAGGCATGCACCACCATGCCCAGCTAACTTTTTTTTCTATTTTTAGTTGTTTGGCTAATTTCTATTTTTGGTAGAGATGGGGTCTCGCTCTTGCTCAGGCTGGTCTTGAACTCTTGAGCTCAAGCAATCCTCCCACCTCAGCCTCCCAGAGTGCTAGGATTACAGGCATGAGCCACTGTGCCCTGCCTAGAGTTGTATTTTCTTTCTTTCTTTTTTTTTATTTTGGAGTTGTATTTTCTTGATATACAAAGACCTCTTACATAAAAATATGAACAAGCCAATAGAAAAGTTGGCAAATGACTTCAGCAGGCATTTATAGAACACAAATATTGAGGATAATAATGAATATGAAAAGGTTCACTAATATTTAAAGAATTTAAATAAAACAAGAATGATATTTTTATAAATTTTTTAGAGATTTGTCTCCCTCAAGACAAATGATTGATAATATTCAATGTTGGAATGTGTGTGGAGATATATACTCACACTTAGTTGTACATTTTTAGAAGGCAAAGCCTATTAAAATTAATATGTCCTTACCCTTGATCCCACAACTTAGCTTCTTGGAATTATCCATATAGAAATGCTTACAGAAATGTTTGAACTTATGTACAAAGAAACACCATTTATTTAAATTGGGAAACCCAAATGCCCAATAGTTTAAGTTTCCATATGTCTATTCATTAAAATACCACTCAGTTTTATGGGCCCAGCACGCTTCCACTGCATGACTCTGCTATCTTACCACTCAGTTTTTAAAAACTAAAAGATGCCAAAGGTATATTGAGTAAAAATGTTCCAAAACAGTATCATGGTTATTTCTGTAAAATAATAATTATCTTAAATGTGTTCACAGTGATTATCACTTGGAGTAAACTTAAAGAGAACTTGCATTTTATACATATTTATGAACAGTTTCAGTTTTTTTGAGAAACATTTGCTGCTGGTGTAAACAGGTGAAAATAATTGTTTTTAAATCCCTATTTATTCTCCAAAACCTATAAAATTTTTTCCTGTATGGGGAATTTCATCAATATCCCTTTTCTGAAATTCTTTCTTTTTTTTAAGGTAAAGAGAATAAACCATTTATTAAAACATTGTGTGATAAAATAAACTTTCGATCCAATGCTACACTGGTAAACTTTTCTTCCTCAACATTATACCTAAAACATAGTTAAATTACAACATCATCCGACTAGAACTAGAAAATAATTCTGTCATTTACCACTCAACAATTGAACAGCGAGGTAACTGCAGATCTAGGTTTTCTTGATGAGTCAATGATCGAGAATGATAAAAGACAATATTCCATATGCCCAAAGGTTAAATTTTATTTATCCTATTCACTGGCCCAAACTTAAAATTCTCCTATTGAATAAAGCTTTCATATAGTACCCCCTTCCTTGCCACAAATAAGTGTTAGGAACAAATTAAGGATAAGAGCTGGGTTTTAAACTGTACTTTATTTGCTACTATAATATGCTGTCTTTTTAACTGATCAACCACAAGCATGCAACAAGTTCTCTGAAAGGAACTGCTTCCACAACTCATTGTATATCAACAGGAAAATAATAAAGGTCACTCAATTTGGAGTTCTCTCCTTTTTTAAAGCACTTCTAAGCAGTGTGTGTGACACAGAGGTAGGAAAGACCATCTTCAATAAATTATCTTCTTAATTGTGGAGAATTTCTGAAAAGCAGACTGACAAAATGCTAAATCGTGCCTCTGATGCGTCTCAAAGGACCACAGATCCATTGGCTCCTTATTCAAAGAATTAATCCCCCGGAGTGGTTGAGCTTTTGTAGGGCACCTGATAACAAGATCCACCAGGGCTCCGCACAACTGCACTAAGCAAGCCTTCTATCACACTCATTTGCCGATTCTTTGGATCACCCAGTCCTGCTGGCGGAGAGGGCAGCGATTGTTCTGTTTCACCCACAGGGACATGCGGCAGTTGTGGAAGGAATGATTACATTCTCCCCAGACCACAACACAATCCTCTTGTTTATTTTCAGCTTGACATCTAAGACAGGCATCCATCACCTGGACCCTGCAGATGGCACACGTATCGCACTCCACGTCCCAGCTCCACATGGCCACCGCGTTCCACTTCTAGAGAGAGAACATTTTGTCGCCTCCCGACTTAGAGCCTGCGCTCCCCGAGTGAGAGGCCAGGGCGCAGGGCTCCTCTCCGTCTTCCACGTCGGCCATGGCGGCGGCGCGGGGCCAGCGGCAGAGACGTTGGGTCGGGGGAGGTGGGTGGCTATGGTCTCTTTTCTGAAATTCTTTCCCCGACAAGTCATCCTGTAAAAGAATGTAACTCCTTTAAGATGAAAATCAGATCTAACCTCCTTGTGCTTCTGAAGGGAAAATATAAATGATCAAATAAACATGGGTGGAACACTTAGAAAGTGTAGAAATTAATAACTTCCAAGTAAGCATTAGCATACTCTCTGGGGAAATAATTCCAGCAAAAAGATAATCCCTACTCTTCTTTCTGTTAATAATATATGATTGAAAGCCAAAGTCCCTTCTTCCCTTGACTGTGATATACAACATGTCCCTCAGAGCCAACTGAGCAGATAAAAAATCCAGATAATGCTGAAATATTCCTGCTTCCCCTTTAGTGCACAGTGCATTATATGTGTATTTCTTTCTCTTTGTCTAATATCTTGCTGTGTCAAATTTTCTTAACAGGTTTTTAAGCACAAATCCAGCCTGCTTTCTGGGTGACAGACACTTCTGCTACAGCTTCTGAACTTCCTGAGTAGCATCCAATATTTTTCAGTTGTGCCTCTGGCACATCATCAGCTTCAGAGAATCAACTTGCAGCACTGTGGAGCACCTGACTATGGTAACTTAACACATTGCGTACCGCTCAAGAGTTTTCTCGTTTTTCACGGGATATCTGTTATGGACCTTAGATGTCAACACGCTGTCTTGTCCACATTGAATGAAGTGATCTCATTGGTGGAAACCGTGCAGGTCAGTTATGAAAAACTATATAATTGCACAAACCCATAAAGCATTGCAGTTACATTGTATTTTGGTCATTCGAATAGTTTTCGTCTTCAAGTTCCTGGCGCTTTTAGAAATGCCCTCTCTCAGAAAAAGGAAGGAAACCAACAAAAATGATATACTTCCGGAAGTATTTAACGATAATTTATCAGATATTCCTAGGGAGATTGAAGATGCAGATAACTGTTTTGATGATTCGGGAGAAGATTCTACTGACAGTGAAATTATTAGACCTGTAAGGAAGCGCAAGGTGGTGCTTTCAAGTGATTCCAACACTGACGAAGCTACTGATAATTGTTGGTCTGAAATTGACACACCACCACGCTTACAAATGTTTGGGGGTCATGCTGGGGTCACTACATTTCCATCTCAGTGTGACTCTGTACCCTCTGTGACCAATCTCTTTTTTTGGTGATGAATTGTTTGAGATGTTCTGCAAAGAGCTGTCCAACTATCATGATCAAACTGCAATGAAATGCAAAACACCAGCTAGAACACTAAAAGTGGTCTCTATTTACACAGAAGGACATCAAGAAATTCCTTGGCCTAATTATTCTGATGGGTCAAACAAGAAAAGATAGCTGGAAAGACTGTTGGTCAACAGATCCTTTGATATGTACCCCTATATTTCCACAGACAATGAGTCATCATAGATTTGAGCAAATATGGACATTGCGGCATTTCAATGATAACGCCAAAATGGACAGTTGCTTGGGGAGACTTTTCAAGATCCAACCTGTGCTGGATTATTTCCTGCATAAATTTTGAACAATATACAAACCAAAGCAACAGTGTCTTTGGATGAGGGAATGATTCCATGGAGAGGACGTTTAAAATTTTGCACGTACAACCCAGCGAAAATAACAAAATATGGTTTACTTGTTCGGATGGTGTGCGAGAGTGACACCGGCTATATCTGCAATATGGAGATATACACTGCTGAAAGAAAGAAATTGCAAGAAACTGTTCTTTCAGTCCTTGGACCCTATCTTGGCATATGGCACCATATTTACCAGGATAATTATTACAATGCTACATCTACTGCTGAATCGCTGCTACAGAACAAAACTAGAGTCTGTGGGACTATTAGGGAGAGTAGAGATTTACCGCCAAATTTGCAAATGAAAACATCAAGAATGAAGAAAGGTGACATAATATTTTCCAGAAAAGGTGATATTCTTCTCCTAGCATGGAAAGACAAGCGGGTTGTCCGAATGATATCAACGATCCATGACACTTCTGTTTCAACAACAGGAAAAAAAATAGAAAAATGGGAGAGAATATTATAAAACCTACCTGCATCAAGGAATATAATGCCCACATGAAAGGTGTTGACTGTGCGGATCAATTCCTTTCGTGTTGTTCCATTCTAAGGAAAACGATGAAATGGACAAAAAAAGTAGTGCTGTGCCTTATAAACTGTGGACTTTTCAATTCATTTGGAGTGTAGAACATCCTCAATCCACAAGTAAAAATGAAGTATAAACAGTTTCTGCTATTCGTGGCGAGAGTCTGGATAACGGATGACAATAAGGAAGGCTCTCCAGAACCAGAGACAAATCTGTCCAGTCCTTCCTCTGGGGGTGCAAGGAGAGCACCTCGTAAAGATCTACCCAAAAGGTTGTCAGGTAATATGAAGCAGCACGAACCTACGCGTATTCTAGCGAGTGGAAAGAAAAAATTTCCTACAAGAGCCTGCAGAGTTTGTGCTGCCCATGGAAAAAGGAGCAAATCTAGATACTTAAGTAAATTTTGTTTGGTCCCTCTTCATAGAGGAAAATGTTTTGTGCAGTACCATATGTTAAAAAAAGTACTAGGAACTTTGTTTAATAAGTTGTTTAATTGTTTTTGTAAATAAAAATGTTATAAATCATGATGAGGTAGGCATGAAATTATGGTACTTTAAAAATTATTTAGAATATTTAGAAAGCATCTAGTAGAGTTACCCACTTACTTTCCTTCATCTTCATTTTAAATATGCTCTAGAGATAGGTCAACCCGTTCCAATTTGACAAGCATTATTTAAGGAGGAAGAAATTCCATGCCGTGTAAAATATGATGATATGCTGATTATAACAACATACTATTAGCAACACGTTTCAGTTGTATTCACTAAATTCTGTCCTGTTTCCTCAAAATAATAGCTTAAGATGCATGTTAATTGTATATCTTACCTATTTTCTTTTTATATTATTCTTATAATATAATAATGTATGTTAAAAAACAGCCCTAGGATTCTAATCTTCCTATGCAGCTGTCTTCCAGTACTTATCAGTACTCTTTATTAAATTGTGATAAGTGGCAGAAAAGTAGGATAAAATGTTCTTCTTTCCATTAGATTTGTTTTTATATCATGTGACCATGTACCAAGGCAGCTATAAATTATTGTATTTCTGTAGAATATGGAAAATAGCATCTGTCTTATCTTTGCTAAATGTTTGCAATTTCTAAGTAAACTTTTCATCTCCTAAAAAAAAAGTTATAATTATTGAAAAACAACACCTAAAGTGCATTCTGATCTATAGTTATGATGATTTAAATAATGTGCAGTAATGCCCCAAAACGTGCAGTCCCTGGCATATGTCTTAGAGATTTCTGTGCGGTACGCAATGTGTTAAGTGGCTGAACAGACAAAATGAGGCTTCCAACTGCTGTCACAAATCTTGTTAAAATCTTGGTTCTGCTCTTGGATTAGGTATATCCTTCCTCTAGTAGGACAAAGCCTCTCTGACCTCTTCATTAAGGCATAAGTATACAGTCTGCTGTATGACAAACAAGAGGATCTCCCTATTTTCTAAAACTACAAACAAAACAAAACCCAAACCTATAAAAAAAACACTCATGGTCTATTTTAAAAAATAAGAGTACTTGGTAGATATATATATTCTTCTTGCTTTCATTATTTAAAAAGAAAAAAAATAAATGAACTAAATGTTCAACTCAAGAAATTAGAGAAAGGAGAAAGACTCCCTGTCCCTAAGAAAAAGGTTAGGAAAGAAAGAAGGGTAAAAACAGAGAAAATGAATTAGAAAATAGAAAAATAGTGGCATTAATACATAAATCCAAGAATGAAATCTTTGCAAACAAGCCCATAAAAGCAACAAACCTATGGTAAATCCAATTGAGAGAGAAAAAATTAAAAATTATAAATAATAGCAGATGAAGAGGAAAGTATACTACTAAAATTTGTGAAAATCTCAATAATATTGGCAATTTTATGGAGGATAAAACCATTAGTTTCAAATTCATTCAAGTAGAAAAATCTAATCCTGAAAGAACATAATTGCAAAAGTTATCAAAGAATCATTTCTAGAAAGACTCATAGTTTTTGTAGCATTTAAATTTTTTAAAAGTATTTAAATGTGTATGATGAATTCTTTCTAACTTTTCTGTTTGGAATATAGAGAAGTAGGAAGAAAAGGGGGGAAATCACTCTATTTTCATCTCTCTTAAATGTCACTATTGATATTTTGTTGTCATTTTCTTTCAATTTTTAATATTTTAAATGTTTTCCATAGTTGTGATTGTATTCTAGAGACATGTGAATAAAAACTTCATTTTATTATAAATTTTTCATAAGAACAATTTACATCTATACATTGTTTGAGAATACATGTATCAGTAATACCTATCTAACAGGATTGGAAAGTTTACATGAGATATATAAGGTCCTTGTTATTAATACAATGTCTGAGCCACAGTAGGTACATAAAAAGTGATAGCTATTATTGTTATAATTTGCAAAGGGCTTTTCCTTTTATATGTCTCATTTATTTAATTTATAATGGGTTTATTATTATCTCACAACATACTGTTCCCACTTTAGGAGAAATAGACAAGCTTCTTCCCACAAAGGAACATCCTGGATACCTCTCAGAGAGAAGCCAAGAATATATTTTTGGTCCTTAGGAAAGTCTTTCTGTTTGGTTGGTTTTGCTGAGAAGGTACAGTCCAGGCTGAGCAAGGTTCAACAAACTGTGGCCTAGAGCGGTAGAAGAAAGTGTCCTATGTCAGAACACTCAGAGACCCACACAGGATCTTATAGTGGCCCCCAGGGAATAGTAGTGAACTTAGATTTGGGTTTTGATTTTTCATATTAGGCATTTGGCCTGTGTGGCATAGAAATAAATAAAGGGTTGATTACTATTACTCTGAAGTCACTGAAAAGTCAATGATAAAAAGAACATCAAGTGCTCCAACCTCTACAGATCTTCAACCTCCACCTCATGTTTCTTCAAAAGTTGCTACTTTTTCACCTACTGTGCTTTCATTAAATTTGCTTCCATTTCCTCTTTGCAGTTTGTTTTTGTGGTGCCCTTGTCCCTTTTACCACTTTTCCCCTTTCCCCCCTAATTTCACTTTCCTCTGTTCGTAGAGTTTATTCCCATCCTTCTTTTATTCTTAGTTGCTTTTTCTTTCTACTTATCCTCCCTCTCCCATTCTGGCCTCATCCTACTGCTTTCCCACACCTGCTCCTACTAATAAATGCTTCAAATTTCAATGGTTCTCTCCTCAATTGAGTTCCTGCTTTTGGCCCTAGGTTTTCTCACTGTTATATTTAATGTTGACTCCCTTTGTGTGTGTTTTTCATTTCATCCAAAGAATGAGTCTCTAAGGATTCTGCTAGAGGCTATTATAGTTGACTTCCAATAGATTACCTGCAAACTCTACCCAAAGAAAATTTTAAAGTGGCTTTCTTTCCTCTATCTTCTGGTGATCAAAGAATACATTTTTAAATTTACTTTTTAATCCAAATCTTCAAACCTGATAGCAGAAAACCCTTTCTCCATAGAAAATCCCAATTGGAAGGCAAATATATATAACTAATGAAAGTTAAGCTGTTTGGATGGTGTAGGACCTAGAGCCCCTAAAGCCTAAGAAACCCCTATCACACACAGGTTAAATGGATGAATGATGAGGGCTGATATAAGGTAACAGGAAATGTGTGGCAATGGGCGACTATGTCCACCTGGAGAGTACTGATAATCAGCTCTAGCCAACTCTTGCCATATGGGAATGTGGTGCTTAGTGTCGCCATCTCATGTATTTTTTTTTTTTTTTTTTGAGACAGAGTCTCACTTTGTTGCCCAGGCTAGAGTGAGGGCCATGGCATCAGCCCACCTCACAACAACCTCAAACTCCTGGGCTCAAGCGATCCTACTGCCTCAGCCTCCCGAGTAGCTGGGACTACAGGCATGCACCACCATGCTCGGCTAATTTTTTCTCTATATATTAGTTGGCTAATTAATTATTTCTATTTATAGTAGAGAAAGGGTCTCGCTCTTGCTCAGGTTGGTTTCGAACTCCTGACCTCGAGCAATCCACCCGCCTCAGCCTCCCAGAGTGCTAGGATTACAGGCGTGAGCCACTGCGCCCGGCCATCATGCATTTTTGTAAGAGAATCTGGAAAGTGAGATTTTCTGTGAAATCTCTAGATTCTTAAATAGTGGCAATAATTTTAAATATAAAAGAAATACTGTGTGTGAGGAAAGAATCTTTGTGTAGGCCAAAACAGTCCATTAGGCCAGACTGCCATCTCTTTTTGTTTTTTTGAGACAGAGTCTCGCTTTGTTGCCCAGGCTAGAGTGAGTGCCCTGGCATCAGCCTCAGCTTCCTCAATAGCTGGGACTACAGGCATGCACCACCATGCCCAGCTAATTTTTTCTATATATATTAGTTAGCCAATTAATTTCTTTCTATTTATAGTAGAAACGGGGTCTTGCTCTTGCTCAGGCTGGTTTCGAACTCCTGACCTCAAGCGATCCACCTGCCTCAGCCTCCCAGAGTGCTAGGATTATAGGCGTGAGCCACCGTGCGGGGCCGAGACTGCCATCTCTGATTTAAGATGTGAAAGGTCACTGTGAATTTGCATGATAAATCTTGTTCCACCTCCACTGAAACATCCTACCTGGGTAAATCATAATTTATTCCAATATTACAAAATGGCTTTTGTATTTCACAAAGTATTTTGGGTAAATAATTGAAAGGCTACTGTATTTTATCAAGTTACCCAAAAATTCAGGCCTTTTTTTCATATAGATCAGAGGTTAATTTTACATTCACACCCTAGACAAGATTATTACTCTAATTCCAAAGAAAATAAATACAAGAGGAGGAAAAGGGGAGGGAAAAGAGAATAGCAGTAATCCCTAAAACTTCCAGTATGTATGTGTGTATGTGTGTGTGTGTGTGTGTGTATCAGAACTTTTAGATTTCCTGAGCCACTTGGTTCAGAGAAGAAAAGTTTGAGTATGGGATAAGCCCCTGCAAAGCCCTGGTTCATCAGATGATGTGCCCAGTGGCAGAGAATCAAAAACTTTGTTTATTAAGCTTTCAAGTGCTTGACTATTTCAGCCTCACCTCCATACATATTTTCAAATGACTACTGAAATTGCAATAGTGATTGCAGAGTTCCCTATATCATTGTATGGGTGGCATCCTTTTCTAGTTGTGCTTTTCTGGTGTTTCAGAGGAATGAATGTAGATGAACAATGCTGCACCACTCCTGACATCACCAGGGCTTCTTCCCAGTGTGGATTCGCTGATGTAAAATGAGGTGTGAGGTCTGCCGGAAAGATTTTCCACACATATCACATTTGCAGGGCTTCTTTCCAGAAGTGGGTTCTTCGGTGTCCCAGAAGACGTGAGCTATACATGAAAGCTTTCCCACAGACATCACACTCATGGGGCTTCTCTCCACTGTGGATTCACCGGTGTCCAACAAGAGCTGATCTGTGACTAAAGGCCTTTCCACACTCAGCACATTCATATGGTTTCTTTCCACTGTGGATTTTCTGGTGATGGAACAGGCTCGAGCACTAGTTTGAGCACTAGTGAGCTCTTCCCACACTCACTACACCGGTATGGCTTCTCCCCAGTGTGAACTCTTCCATGTCGTGGCTTGTTTAAAGGACGGAGGATGAACACAGAACACAAAACACAAACACAGAACACAAAGAAAAATGCAGACACACGTACAAACGGTTGACTTGAGTAATAATACACCAGTCAGTTTTATTTTTATACTCTAAAAGATTAAAGTTAGTTCATTGTACGTAACCACCCAGGCATTGCAGCAATGGCCATAAATTCCAGAATACGTAGCCTTAGGGAAGCAGATATCCCCTGCCTCAAGGTTTCCAGGTGGTTGCTCTAGGCGCTAGGCATAGATCATAGACCGAGATTAGCAACGATGGGCAAGGCAAGTCAAGGGGGCATTCCTCATCCTCAGCTTTTCTTAGGGTGATCCCCTAAGATCTTTGGCTGAACCCCAGCAGCTGTGCATGGCTTAAGTCGCCTCTCCCTTGAGAGGTCTTACCCATCATTGACTAACCAGCCATCTTATGGGGTGTACGCAGCAATCACAGGAACAATGTGTTTATTGTGTGGCCTCCAGAACCCCAATGCCGTAGGGTGGGGTAGCTCTTGCTTACTTTCAACTCAGGTCCTTTGTTATGCCTCTAGGCAACACCTTGTTT